TACTACCTCTCTCTCTCTCTCTCTCTCTCTCTCTCTCTCTCTCAAATCAAACAAAGCAAATGCCATAAAGTGGGGAAGAAAAGGTTCCATTTGGTGCTATGTGAATACTTCGTTCATCAGAGAGAAGAGACGAGTCACGGTACCAAAGCAGAGGATAACAATGGATCCTTCTCACCAAACCCTGGCAATAGTTGACGATCGGTCGAATGGTGATTTAAAATAGTGCAGTAAATATATCGAATGCCATCAACTCAGATATGGGAACCAGCGATGTGAGTATCTTATAGTTCTCAGCAGTTACCTTGGGAGACGCAATCTGCGGCGAACGAGGGAGATCACCGGGCTTTGAACCAAGACGGCCGCGTTCTCGGTGGCGAATGGGCGATAGAACAGGGAGAAGGACGGGAGAGAGAGATGGCACCGGACGCTGTTGCTGGCCATGGCAGATGAAGAGAGAGAGAGAGAGAGAGAGAGAGAGAGAGAGGGGTTATATATATATATATGCGGTTTTATGACAGTGTCGTGTCAGGCTTCTGTTACACGGTGGATATCAAACGGTTCGATCTGTTAATTGCACTGCTGTACTACTTATTATCTTTGGACAAAATATAATATATCTAAAATTAAAAACATATATATATATATATATTCAATTTCTCTTTCTTTTCAAAATATTTTTCACTTTCATTGGGGGGTGAGAGGACAAAACACTTGTTCTGACCATAACTCTATCACAAAAGCCTCCTTTTTATAACCAGCCACAAAAATTGTCAGAAAAGATCAGCCACAAAAAAAAATAAGAGAGGGGAAAGGTGTCAATCAAAACTTTCTAAAGTAATTGGAAGAAGCATCCATCACAACTTTTTTCATGCACATGTATTTTACTTAAAAAAAGCATCAATGTTGTCAGATAGTTAAAAAATATTTTTAGATATTTTATTTTCTTATAAAAATCTCTCTCTCTCTCTCTCTCTCTCTCTCTCTCTCTCATCAAAATAAATAATAAAATATTAAAAAAAATAACAATCACATGAACCTCGATCCATATACATAAGATTAAAGTGATATCTTGGGATCAGGTTGCTGGTTTGGTTTCGGCGTCCTTATCGAGAAAAGATTCCAATCATTTTGTCCACCATAGCTGACAGCTGATTGCCCATCATGCGCTTGCCTTTCATTTCATAGTGCAGCTTTTGATGTCCGTGATTTTAATGTGACCATTTAGATCTTAATTACCGAGATAAATGAAGGTTGATTACTTTAACTGTTTAATATAATAAATGTTCGTCCATTTTAAATATCTGAATTGATTAATGAATCATTACAATTTTTTTTAATTTAAAAAAAAAATGCAACCGGAGCTCTTAATTAATACAAAAGTATTTAACAACACATTGATTAGCTTCCGCATTTCATAGCGAATTTTGCACTCTTTAATACATTCTGAATACACTTTGAAATCTTGACCACCTCCATGTTAAAACCATTCATTTTTATAAATGTTTAAAATACACATGAGAAAATTATTTTGTATAATGTTATTCTTATAATTATTGATTTAATTAAAAAAATAACATCTTTGGTGATTGATATGTCATCCTTATTGAATTTCGTATTGATAGAAGATTAGTCATCATCCGATACATCATCGCTACTCTATGGTGCCCAAAGATATAGTTATATCTATTTTGAAAATCTAAGTTAGACATTATTAAGTTTTCTTCTCACCGTTTGTTTATGATCAGAAAAACAACAATAAGTTTTCTTCTTGTTTTTTATAATAAAAAAGATAATTATAAGTTTCTTTTTTGCTTTCTACTATTGGGTATAAAAGTTCGCTTTTCACATATAAAAATAAAAGATTTTTTGAGACTATTAGATTGATCAAGAATATCTTGATCCATCGAGTTCGTTTGGTGTTATCTGTACGAAGATCGAGATCGAAAGAGATTTTTCGTTTTATTTTCTCAAAATGCAACGCTCTTGTAACTTGAGGTGTACAAGTGCGAATGCTAATATCTTGATCCATCGAGCTCCTTTGATGTTATCTGTACGAAGATCGAGATCGAAAGAGATTTTTTTGTTTTATTTCCTTAAAATGCAACACTCTCGTAACTCGAGGTGTACAAGTACGAATACTAATAGTCCCAAAAAAATCTTTTATTTTTACATTTATCTGGACCACGGATATTTTGGGACATGTAAAAATTTGTCTGGATCGATATTTTTTTAACATACGTGTTGAGTTTTAATTCATCGAGAATGATAATTTTATCAACTTTATGTATCTTGGAAGAGTGACCGTAGATTCCATCTATATTAAGTTTATACCAACTTAATTCGTTAAGCTTAATCGAATACACCAGAATATATCACACACTATATATCTATCTTGCAAACTGTGTTAATTCTGTCCATAAGATTCGAAGGTGATAAATCGTTTTCAAGGTATCGTTACCTCACATCGGCGAAAGGGCGAAGCAAACAAGCGGCGAGGACGGCCATGAAGCCGACGTGAACGAACCGAGGAAGGGCGTCTCCTCGTGCGGCAGAGAAAGGAAGCGTCGAGCTCCACACGGCGTGGGTTCCACGACGATGACGAAGACGACGAGGAAGACGAGATGCATTGGGATCATCAAGACACGTTATCGATCACTAGATTCGTCATTGATGACGATAATGAATTAGACGACGGCGTATCTGTTTGGTCTCACATCAACATCAAGAATGAAAAAGGCGAAGCCTATTATCAACTTGGAACATTATTTTTTTTATCGTTTCTTAGAATCTATGTTATAATCGAGAGGAAAGTAGTGTCGCATGAATGTTGTTTAAAAGTCATACAATTGTGGTCCTAATTGGTGATTGATTGAGAGAAAAGGTTGTCTTGAAAGGATGGATGGATTCCATGGCTAACATTCAAAGCATGTTGTTGACCAATCGGGGATGACAGCATGTGTAGCGGAGTAGCTTAGGCTCCAACATATCGGTCAATGTTTGATTCGATTGGTCCGGCGTTATGGGTTTGCTTTAGGACTGTCTTTTCTTTTATTTTATCCCTCTCTATTCAAATTAACTACACATGAGGAATTTGGGAGGTCTTCCGGTTGATTAAAAAATTAAATCCAACTAAACTCTTATCTCATTATTTTGGATTGTTCGTGACATGATCTTTACAAGTCCGTGCGAATATCATGATCTCGCTCGCAAAAGTCATGGTTTTTATTCAGTAGGATTAATTTTTTTTTTTTGTTTTGAATCACAAACCCTTGTAATTATATAAGTTATTAGCATAAAAAAAAGAAAAAGAAAAAGCAATCATCGTTTGAAAGGCTTCATCAATTAACAATTGATACTTGAAATATTATTAGTCAGTGCACAAGTGTTTGGCTATCTAAAATTCATTGAAGTGAAATGAGTTCAAGCCTTTCTTTTAACTAAAATTCTTTTTTACTACATTTATCTTTCCCTATCTTATTTGTAATTACAGATAATAAACAAATGGGCAGTATAGTTTACTCGAAGCATACGGCGCCGCACTATGTTTCAGATTAGATCCGTGTCTCATCTCTCATTCCTCCGTCCTCCGTCCTCCGTCTTGGCTGTCTTGTAGCCATCAGAATGTGCGTAGCGAACGAGACAAAGTGTGTTCTTTTAACCCCTCAGAATGTGCACAGCGTATAAGACAACAGAGAATGCTAATCGGAGGAAAGGGTAGGGTTGGTGGATCCCATTAGCCCTTCTTTATGTTCTCATGGATCTCTCCTCCGAGGGTGGGGTAGCCGCGCAGGAGTACGTCCTTTTAATTGGATCAGTCCCACAGCAACAATGAATGCCGCGATAACAAGCTCTTTGTCCTCGTGTGTACTGCTTTTTTTCTGGACCTGCCATGGATTCCTCATGCTTTCGAAATGGCGTTCACGCAAAAGGTACGAATACGAAACAGGACGACGATATTTTAGAGGAAGTCCACTCACAACCACCACATGGATGCCGTCGGTTCTCCAAAATATTAGTACGTAAGGAAAAGGGAAGAGTGAAAAGTGAAGTCTAAAGAGAAGAAAAGAAAAGCCTCCAAAGGATCACCATCTAAGTTAGCAAGATTCCTATAGAAAAGTGATGAAACTATATTACCATATTTAGTAAGTTAGTTCCACGTTGGTCGAGTGTATGAAGATCACATAGTATTATGATCATATCATTCGACATATTGCCACATTTAATTTTACATTAATTCAGTTGAAAAGTCAAAACCTCATAAAGATCTGAGGCCAAGCTAGAATTATTTCTCACAGACCTCAGAGTACTCTGCATCGTCGGTCATTGCAATGACCGTAGTATTATGATCAGATCCCTCATCCTAATATCCATAAAGAAAATTGAATCCGATTGATTCAAGTTGGGGTTAAAACTTATTGCTATTATACCCAATTAGACCCACAAGGGGTAGAGTTCTTCACATGGGCTCAACTTGTGAGCCCAAATAAAATCATATTATCGGCCGCCGAGTCAAACTAGTGATGAGTTCACCAGAAAAAAAGAATATATATATACATAGAGTTGTTGCTTTAAGTAACACAACTAGATTTGTTTCTTGAAACGAAAAAAGAGAAAAAAACAGTAGGCAAAAGTCTTAGCTTTACTGAATAGTTTTGACCCGCAACGAAGCAAATCTCGGATAAAGCATGAAAAAGATGGCATCAGCTACGCATTGATATATTAATTCATTCTCATCAATATATCCCCCAAACAATATGAACAAAAATCGAAGAAAGCGGAGTTAATTGTGGCCAAGCATGTTTTTTTCTGCATCAATATTCCGCGTATATTATGATATTAGCACAGAATAAAGGAAGAGGCATCTTACTCCATCATGCACATGGGTTCACTAAACACCGCTCATCTTTCTAGTTTGCTCAGCAAAGCTTCCATTGGTGGCAACTCCTTCACAATCTCTTGCCAATCCGGCATGCCCTGGGTATGAAAAATACAGTAAGGTGGTAGTAGAATACTCCAAGAGTATAACTTGCTCTTTATACGGGTTTCAAAAATTTTACTGTGTCATGTTGTTGTCGATTCACAGAGATACGCATTCGTCTTCCCTAGTTTAGCTAATTCAGCAGCGATGAACTACTTTCCAGTCGTCAAAAAGGATGAACTTTATGACTGGATCGAGCAAAAAATTCCAGTTTTGCTAAAGAAACTATACCTTCCCTGACTTTCGAACACGTCCATCTAGACGCAGAATTATGAAAACGTCATCACCAGGATCAAGGACTCCTTCGGACTTTTGCTGATCACGTATCCATCTGAACATCACACACATGATTAAAGCTATACTTTGGGCAAATTTTAAAAGAACCAAGAAATGGACTACTACATGTTTTCTTATACTTTTACTACAAAAACAACAAGAAAATGCATCCAGCACAAGACGACTTCAGCTAATTCTTTCAGGTGGCTCATTTATTCATTAAGCTTAAACAAGAAATTGAGCAAGATATAAAAAAATAGAAATGATGAACAAATACAAGTGAAAGCTTGTCGGTGGTTGAGATAATTTTTTTAACAACTGGTTGAGATAAGTGATCAGATAGCAAAAAATACCAACTTGTATGGCCGCTTAAACTTGGAAGTGAGAACTGGGCCCAGTTTTGCCGGTACGGGTAAAAAAAAAAGGAAATATTCTCGTAGATCTATTGATTATTGTGACAGGATTAAGAAATACATAGAGAGATTTACAATATATAAGATAAAAGAAATGATACAGTTGGCCTTAATCAAGGGGTACTAACTAAGTACTAACAAAATCCCAAGTTTGAACAAGTGAAGGGCTAGGTCAATTTGAGACTGAGAAAGAATTATGTTTGTCTAATTTTGTGAATTTTAGCTGGTTTTCACCATTGCTTTAGTTGTAAATTATAATTTTCGTAATAATAGCACTTTTGTGTTGGTTTAGCAAGAGCTCAGATGGTTTGACTTTATACTGTGATGATCCAAAGACATGATAGGGGTAAAATAGCACTGAAAAATTATCTTAAAGAGAATTATCTGGCTAAAGATTTAAATTCTGTACACATTGCACAGGTGAAAGATCTCTCGCTTAATTTCCAACATTTTTTTCTTCAAATCTCATCAAGTTTGTTCTCTATCTCTCTTAATTATCTATCACATACAACAGTTGCTGAGTTGAATGCTGAAATGCAAAGAAATAATCAGATCGCATTCCTTTATCTCCTTCAGCCACTACTGAGCTTACCAAGGAATATTCATATTGTATTCAAATTTATTAGTGCAAAACTCATATACGTTGAGGTCTGCAAAAAGCCATCAGAGAGGTCTGGACCCATGAAAAAATGATTATGAGTGTTGAGGATGTATTTATTATATGAATTAAATCCAATGCATCAAGCAAAACATGTAGGAGGTAGCTAAATAATGTTTGGGTTTGAAAATATATAGATGAGCAATTTGTATATTAGATAGTTATGAGAACATGTGGCTAGGATCAAGTACAAGTAACTGTCGCTAAAATTTTGAAAATTATATTTTAAATATGTAAACCAACTTGAAAGAATACATTAAGAGTCAATTTCACTTACCTTTCCCATTCATAAGGAGATACTATCTCAGCCTTGAAGCGCACCTCAGCTTTCAATCGTGACTTTGCAGTTATAGATTGAGTTCGTTGTTCAAAATCATCCTACCAAAATGCAATTGTATTTTACGGCAATAACATCAATGATGCTAGTATAGCTACACATATATAGTCTGAACAGTATAAGTTACTATATTTAGCATATACCCTAAACATACACATTTGCAAACATATAGAAGGAAAAAAGTTGAGAGATTATCAGGAAGACAACACAAAGAACATGGTACGACATGAGAATACCCGAGCATCTTCTGTTGATTAATTTTCATGGTATGACATGAGAATACCTTAGGTGACTAGTAGATAGACTCACATCTACATTCCTACTACATCTGTGATCAAGCTAACAACTAACAATTTACATTAGCTAGATTCTTTACCCAAATTTGGAAGTATGATGACCCGATGATCCCATAAAGAGAGTTGGCCTGTTGGATCAGCAAGATGGGGACATCTTTGGGCAGACTATCATCAGAACCCTAAAGGTGAATTTTGGATCAGGCCAGATTCATTGACATCAAGCTTTTGACTAGTGAAGACTGAATGTCCCAGTAGTCCCACATCACTATGGACTAGGTTATTATATGTTTAGAGATAGATGACTTTAAAACTAACAACTACGACTCAAGGATTTTGGCTCACATGGTTCTAATGCTGTTACATCATAGTTATTAGGTTAGTCTATCGGGCTAGAACATGATGATTGATCTTAAAGTAACTTCAGGCTTCTCTGGGTGGGCTGACACATGACAAGATGGGGGTTACTTTATGTAGACTGAAATGTGAATTTCTTTGGGTTAGACTCCCATTAGAATCTCAGATGTTTTGGACTCTTGACAAGGATGTCAAACATTTAATTGGGGAAGATTTTAAGACCACAATATTTCCACATAGACAATTGAAGTTGAATAAAATTAGTACAGTTAGTAGTTGAACTTGAGCATTTTGGACCACATGGATGTATACCCATTATATTTGAGCTACAAATTCAATAAGTCTACTGGGCCAGGATGTCAAAATTCCTGTTCTTTGACTCATAAACTAACAAAAATGTAGCAACAATAGCTAAAATTGATTTAAACTCAAAAAAGATTCTGTTATGGTGTAATTTCAACCCCATTTGAACCTAACTCTAGCCGAAGCCAATGCCAAAGAATAAAAGAAAGAGGAACAAGTAGATAGCAAACAAACTCCTAATTGAATAACCAAAAAAACCAAAAGAACAATAATGGACCAGTTCCCATGGCCTATGATGAGTTCCCAGAGAAAGTAAATTGGTGCTTTGATACTTGAAAACTACTTCAGGTGTAATTGCATAGGTATATATAAGTGCAGAAGACATCCCATAAGAGCAACTCAAAGGTCCATTTTATGCATTTTACTGACCAAGCCACACATTTTTGCATTTAAATAGACAAACAAATAAATCTGACCCCAATTGAAGGAAGAGATGAAGCAGATTTTGCAGGAACACCAAAGCCCTTTTTCTCAATGGAAGCCTTGCTATAATCACCCCAGATAACAGGAATCAGAAGAACACCTCGCTTAAGCAGTTCAGTTCGGAACCTTTCAGCCTTCTCCATTGCTCTTGAAACAGTCTCCTTCTTCCCTGCCAAAATTACCTAAAGTATTGTTCATATAAGACCTCCAAGTTTCTTGTAAAATTTGTAAGTGCAGAAAAATTGAAGAAACAAAAATGGTTTCCAAAACAATAAAAGCTAACTTCATCTCATACAATGTACATACAAAAGAATGGAATTAGTCTCCTGAACAAATGGCATCTAACATAGCAGAAAAGTGACACTAACCGGCCTATAAGTGTCCCGAAGCTGCACAAGTTCAACAATCCGATTAGTTGAAAGACGCACAGGCAATCTTGAGAGAGTTTCATCACGTGATATTTGAGCAAGCTGTTCCTCTTCCTTCTTGTTGTCCCAGATGAACAACACCACAAGAACAACAATGCCTACAGAGTGCTGATTCAAAAGCTTGATCAATTTAAAGAAGTGATTTCCAAATACCAACGAAGTGCACTTTCAAGAATTGAAGGCGTCAATTTGATTAAACAAAATTGTCTTCATGGTATATATACTATAATCATTTACCGCCAATGTTGATGGCAGCATTTCCAGCAGTCTCCCAAAGATCAGGAGCCCCATCACCACCATTGATTGCACGTATGAGTCTGGGAACTGTAAAAAACATAGAAATCCCAGCTGCAGCAGAAAAAGCCACATAAAAGAATCTTCTCACGCCACGAAATGGTGCTTGAACTTCACTAATGAGTTTGAGATCTCTTCGAAATCCATATCCTATGTCTTCACCTCCCAGCCTGGCCTACAAAAGCATGAGAGGAAAAAAAAATTGTTTCCATAGCATGGAAAAATAGCCTGAATCAAAATAAGAACTTAGATACACATGAAAATGCAAACTGAACAGATGGACAACCTCTTCTTGCAGTTGTTTAAATTCTGGTAAAGCTCTGAATGAGGCTAAGTCAGGATCATTCAGAATAGTGCTGAATTTGAGATTGTAATCTCGCAAAGCAGCTCGCAAACATTCTGCTGCTTGCTTTCCTTCACCTCTAAAACAAGAACAAAATTTTAAACAAAAATCACCTAAGAAAAAGAAAAAAAACCCACAAAGAAAGCAAGAATATGGAAAAAAAGAGATGCAAGGGGAAGAATGCTAGCATACAATAGATCCTATTTCTTCCAAATGATGACAGGCATTTTACTACCCAGAAAAAAAATCAAACAAGGAAACTAAAATTATGGAGAAATAGTAAATTAGATGCCTGCATTGTATCTCAAAACCATAAAAGATTTCTCTAGGCCGTCTAACATATCAAATAAAATGCTAGACATTAATTACATCATTTCAAAATTTCAGGACTTACTAAAACAGAAGAACACAGCTTAAAATCATCCAGCAGAAAACTGGACAACAAACACTTAGCAAAAGAAGTTGGTTCTTGGTGCCTGAATTGCTAAGCACAAATCAAGCATCCAGTGTCCTATTTATCAACCTCATTAATACTGATTGCAACAGAATAGAAAAAGCACCAATAGAGTTAATTATCCCTTGTGCACCTCTCACCTAGACAAATCCATCATTTCATGAACTCACTTTTTTGACAGTCAAATATTAAATAAAACACCAACTTGATTTCACACTCAAGGACAACTCTAGATGAATCTTGAAAGCTACAACCTCCGCCGTCCTCAATTCCATAGTTATTTTGTACAATTTATTTTAAATACCCCACTGAACTATAACAATCAAACTGGAACCAGAAGAAGTTTTTAGTTCAGCCTCATCTTAATTGGGATTCTGTAGTCCTGCTAATTAGCTCCTTTACTATTATGATGATGTATAAGGCTGACATCATTGTAATATACCAATGTGACATATCAAATGATACAAATGATGGAATGCAGGATTTATAAAAAAGTTCAAAAAGATTAAATTATAGCACTATTGTTTAACATTTAAAAAAAATCTTGTGAGTGCATTACCATGTCATTTTTTCTCTCAAGCATTAGGTTATAATAGGAGAAAGTAACAAATTTCTTAACTGACATATAGTTTATCCATTGAAGAGCTTTTGAAAAGACAACAGATTGACTTCCCAAATTTCAAGATTTACCCCTCAATAGGATCCCTACTTATCGCAAAAAATGAGCAAATAGTATTAATTAATTACTTGCCCTGAAAATTTTTCCAACCATGAGGGCTTAATCCCTAGAAGATAAGGAAACTCCATATCTACATGCAGCACCAAAGTCACAATTATATTTGATTTCCATGTATCTAAACATTCTAGCAGAGGATAGAGATTTTTTACTTGTATGCATGGCAGCAAGCTTTGTTGTACAGTGCTGCTTGGGCTTCCATAGGATTTGGATTTAAAGAAAGGGCATTCTCAAACTGCACAAGAGCTTCTTTCACCTATCACATTTTCAGTCATGCACACGGAAATGTGAGATAAAGACGTAAGAATATGATGAAATGATGAAAAGAAAAGAAGGTATAACGAACAGTAGACTTTAAGCCAGATTCCTTATTACAGCAATGATGAAAAGAAAAGAAGGTAAGATTATTATGGAACAAGCACATAGACACAATTTGAAAGAAAAGCATTTGAATGAAGGAGTAGCACAATATAGCATATAAATGTTCCTCCTAGGTAACTTGTCTTGTCCTCTCTTTCCTGACATAAATTAATGCATCTTGAGACTGTAACATTTTCAGTAGAAACCCATCCTCTTCTTTTTATGTGATAGAATTTTGCAAGGACATTATTGGCCTCAAAAGACAACCATATGGCATATGTTTAAGATCAGTACACATGGCCCTTGTCATGATGTTTTGATGAAGAGACCAAGCCTCCAGATGAACTATGTACAATCAAAGTATGGTGTTCAGTTCAAGGAATTATGCTGCCACAGATTTTTCTCTTTTATTTCTGCCTTTCCATAAATATTTCGGAGCTTTCAGTACACTTTTCAAGTAGCACTGTTTTTGGTCCCCTTCCCTTATTTTCATGTTGACAGCTCTTTCCTCGTCGCTTCTCTCTTAACTTCAAATTGGTCTCCTCCACCATCCCTTTTCAAGTATTGAAATTGTCTACAACTCGATGCAACTGTTTTTAGGATTTTCTGGTTTTCGATCATTTTTCATTCCAAACGAAAGAAGTCTTTTCTTCCTCTGTTGATCACACAATACGATTAATCCCTTCAACATAGTTAGCCTATTTCAGCAACATGATTGTCGTATTGGTTCATCATTTCCGTACCCTCAGCAACAAACACAATCTCCTTGCTAAATAGATGGCAATCTTTGGGTTGCTAGAAACAGTATCTGAAAACTTCGTGTTTTTGTTTGCTTTATGTTGCAAACTCATGTAATAGATCTCTTTGCAACAGTCACACGATCGTACTAATCCATTGTGCACACTATGGTCCATCATGAATTTGACAAGGAAACAACAGGAATCTTTAACAGTGTACCAGGACTAACCAGTACCATACATGATGGATCAATTCAGTTGCCTGCTGTATACAGTGCGCCATGAAATGAGTCTAATTAGTACTAGTAAGTGACATGCATCAATAGGAAGGTCACTCATTTGCATTAGAGGGAAGGTGAAGAACTGACAGGTCGACAGACTGAGTTCTTGAAACCAAAAGAAAGATTCAGATGCATCGTTGCAAATATCATCCTTTTGTGATTTCTTGACACTAAGACAAAGATTTAGGAAAGCAAGATCCCCAGTTGCTACTTTTATAACACAAGAAGCGCCGAGGGATTTGGCAATGAGAGACGCACCCGTCCCTTGGAGAAGAAAGAAAGGCCGAGATTGACACACGACTCCGCCGTCTGCGTCGCAGTCTCCGGAGAGGGAGGAGACGGGGGGGAGGAGGAGGAGGAGGAGGAAGAGGCGACGGGGAGGAGACGAGCCCGTCGGGATCTGAGAGGGGTTTTGGGCGCAGACCAGGTGTTGGACTTCGGGCAGCAGAGGAGGTGCTGTTGGAGAGCGAGAGACGCCATGGCCATCGCAGCCACGAAAGAGGGAGAAGTAACGCGGAGGAAAAGGCGACGGCACCGCGCTCACATTTTTCGCTTCCGTTATCCGCACGAATGTCACGGAAGCAGCACATCGCGACCACCATTTCTTTAGTCGGGTCGGGTCCGATCCATTCCGTTCCCGTGGATCTATACATACAAGGCCCACGGAGAATCTGGATCCGGGTCTATCTTGTTAAAGCCCGAACCCGGACCCAAGTTACCAAACTATAATAAAAGGATATAATAATAATAATAATAATAATAATAATAATAATAATAATAATAATAATAATAATAATAATAATAATAATAATAATAATAATAGTAGTAGTAGTAGTAGTAATTTACCTAACAAAACAAGGCCCATGGAGAATCTGGATCCGGGTCTATTTTACCAGCACCTATTTTATTTAACATACCAAAAATAATCTCAAAATCGGATTAACCCTTTTTATTAAATCGAACAACTTGATTTAAACCCGATTGATCCAAGGGTTAGTTTGGTTCAGTATGATTGTAGTCCGGGTCAAATGGATTTGGGTCAGATCTTATGAAGTTGATCAAGTTAAGTGTGAATCAAAAGGTAAAGAGTTTACACAAGGGTTAAACCGAATTAGTATAACCCTACTGTAATCGGCAATGACCAATGCTCCTCTCTCTCTTCTGCTCCTCTATGATTACGGCATTTCTCTCTCTTTGGTAACGATAAACTTCTCTACTCTCTAGTGATGAAGGACGATAGTAAAGTTCTATGCTTTTCTTAGACATTTTATGAATGGTAGCGACATTCTCCTATCTTTAGTGGTGCCAAACTCTTCTGCTCCTCTACGATGTTTGTGCATCTCCTCTCCAACTATAAATGATAGTATCTTTATCAGTAGCCATATCCTCTCTCTAGAGGTAAACTTATCTCTTTTTTTTTTAAATAGTAATATTCTTTGAAATTAATTTTTTTATTAATCTATTAAGTATGTGCACTAATCCTATTAACATTGTGAGAGTCTTAAAGAGGTTTTTATGTTTATATGATAAAAACGATTGATTGTTCACTAATTATTGATATTTATATTTTTGATGCAACTTAAGGGTTTTGTTAGTTTTTGGTGAAACAAGGAGAGATTGATGTTGTAAAACTAAAAGGTCTTTGTTGGTGAACTTTTTATTGTTAAGATGTCAAAATCTTGGGTCTGAATCAATAAGTTTAGGTGAAGCATTCAAGAGAAACATGGTTATATTTGCAACACCTTCTAGGATTATTATTGATATTTTTAATGTTCATGGTGAGTTTTGAGTTGATTAATTCATGTTTTTTTAATTACAAACAAGTGTGAAATTGTAAATATAGTTTTCTCTTAGAAGAAGTAATATTTTTCAAACCTTGTTTTAGTGTTTATATAATTATTTTAGAGGGTTTCTAATTCTTATCTTAATTGATGAAATTGGGTAAACACCCACTTTTTTTTTGCTAGGTGAAAATAATTTATAAATATTAAATATTTATACAAATTATTTTCTTTGATTTTTTTTATATTTGCTTAAACTTTAAATATATATCTCATATTTATAATATTTAATTTTATATATAAATGGAATGATGTCACTACGTAGATTCCTTCTACTTAGGGATAAGGAGCATTTCATGTGGCTACTACAAGTAATATATATCATAATTTTATAATTTATATTAAATATTATTAAATTATATATGATTAATGTTATTTTTAAATGTAAAGTATAAGATGTTTGAAAACTAATTCCTCCATCTTCACCCCCTTTGGCCATCATATGCTACCTCAACTATCACATTATCCCCTCTATAATATATAATTAATAATCATTATTACATATCATTTTAGTTAATGATCTTTGTTATATCATTCATTTTAGGTATTTTGTCTAGGAACCGAGTGGTAAGAGTTAAGGTCGCATGATGTTGAGAAATATAAGGCGACATCAATGTTTCTTATCGTTATGCGTAAAAACCTACGAAATAAAAAAACTATGTGTAAGAGAATTACCTAGAGAAATCATATATATATTCATGAATTCCTACAGATCTATGAGATTAGATGAAGGAGTTCAAATGCCCTCCTCTCTAATAATGATCCATATAGCAGGGGCTGCGACGATGCTCCTAAAATCACTACTCAAATCTTCTCAATGTGCGCACCATGCACTTAAGTAAGAAGGACTCAAGTAAGGTCAGCCTTTCTTGTTGTCCACACGTCCCAAACTGGGGCTGCTAGCTAAGGAGAGGAAGAATAGGAGGTGGTAGCTAAAAAACCTTGCTTATGACCCTTTGGTTCTCTCCTATTTATAGAGGTCCTTTGTCAACTTAACCCTAATGGATCTTGCTCTATTAGGTATTAACTGTAGATGTACTAGGCTACTACACCATAGTCCCCAAACGATATAGGGGAATCTAATTCTTTGGACCTATCTATTCTCAATTATCATGTATCTATAGTCCCTCATCCATATAATATTTCAGAGACCATATATCAGACATAATGCTGTCAGGCTCATACGATTTCTCCTTGAGTCTTGGTCTAATCGGATTCTCTTGGAGAACTCTTTCTCTCTCAATCTAAATGACCTTGGCCAAGGATTTCTCTAAGCAAGAACATATGAGATATTCCTCTCATGATATCGAGAGTGGATGATCCTCTATCGACACTTAATAACCATCATAAGGTTAGCTACCACTTCTTATGATCGGTTGTGCTAGATCTGAAACTTTTAAACCTATAAGTTTGGTATCAAAGAGTGGAGTACTCATACAGGACATACTTGATGTCTCAAGTCTAAGGACCAAGTACACCATTGGGATGACAAAATCACTGTTTGATAATAAGGTATCATCAACCATCTAACATTTCGTGAGCGGATTAATCAGTGAACTCATTCTCCAATGAGCACCTGCACTATAGCCTTAGTGTCCCCACACGAGCAACTATGAGACCAGTTGCTTCCATCATATGAACGAGTATACAACACACCAGCATATCCGGTTATCTCAATATTTCTCTCGAGTAACCTATGATCAGAATTATTTAAGGTCTGTGTTTAAAGGTGAATCAATTTCATTATCGTGATCTCATTACGATCCGATTCTCATTGCACAGATTTATGGACATCACAATATATTTATGGATCAAGCAATATAAATTGAGAAAATATCATAATAATAATAAGCAAAAAGACTGTATGTCATGTCACACATATCATCACTCACATGATTGACTTACAGGGCACCTATGACAAGCACATGATATCTATTTCTCCTATGTTATATCATCTTCATATTCTTAGGATGATACCTTTTTGTTATATAGCAAATATTCCTAACATTCTTACATATTATTATTTTTATATATTATTTTACAACATTAAGAGAGAGATTCAATTTTAATTTTGGCAGTGTTTTAGTTGAATTTAGCTTGAGTAATATTTCTATAGTTTTGAAGGTTTCTAATCGTAAACAAGTCATAGATGTTAAAGCAAAGTTCGGGTATATGTATGAGAAATACTTTAATGATCAATTTTATAGGAGACAAAATATTATTGACTTAAGGTTGTAGTTGATAATTTTAGAATAAGGTAATTATTGATTTAAGAGTTCATTTAGAGATATGGATATGCTTTCTATAATTGTTATTGTTATATATGCATGTTATAGATGTTGAATCTCGTATTTTGATGATGAAATCAATTGATAATTATGTTTATGTTTTAATCTGCGTTTTGAGTGATGCAGGATGCTTCGATTAGGATAAGACAATTAAAGCAGGAAAAATCATGTTGGGCCGGAGGAACATATTAGAAGATTGGATGTCGGGCCAGTGGATCGGTCGACATATCGACAGAAGACTTCGGGCCATGGATTCGGGCATCGGGCCAAGAAGAGCGGACATTGCGCCAAGGATATCGGAGCTGTGGAGTTAACTGGTCGATTGGACAATAGACCACAAGAGAGGACGATGTGCCGAAGAATCAGACGAAGCGTTGAGGGACCAATGACATACCGGACAACTTGATTAATGCTTAGTATTAATTTTCTAAATCGAAGTTTGTTTTACATGTGGAGAATTAACTACGATGGAAGTAAGATATGCAGCAGGAGTTACGCTAGAGTCAAGACCATGATCATGTTGGGGGTTCGAGAGTTCGACGGAAGTCCGGACGGTCGTCGGAGGTTCTGTAGGAACAAATCCGAGAAGTCTAGGAGCTTGCCAAAGAGGATCGTCGGAACTCGCCAAGTAGATTGTCGCAAGTCCAGGAGTTTGCCGGAAGTTCGTCGGAGCATCGCAGAGGGTTCATCGGATGTTCGCCGGAAGTTCGTCGGAAGAAGCGATTGACGCACCGGAGCAAGTTGTAGTATTAATGTCTTAAATATCATAGTTAGCATGTAGATTAAGTTAGGAATGATCAGTGATCCCATTAACTTAATCTGAGAGCAATTGGGCCCTTGACAGACCCAAATTGGGCCGAATGAATCAGCCCATTCAGACCCAGAATTCCTGCCAGGCGGTGACACCGCTAGGGCCGGCTGTGGCACCGCCCAAGAGTCTTGGTCTCCCAGGAATTTTGGGTGATAGTACCACCCAATTATGATGGTAGTACTGCTAGGACCTCGAAAAACTAGGAGATTCACTTTTCAACTCCAAATTCAAGCCAGTTGGGGCCTATATAAACCCCACCCTTTCCTGCATGAAAGAAAAATCGAAAGCTTGATCTTACTCTATGATTTTAGAGCTCAAAAGTATTGTAAAGGCCAAAAGTTCTCCTCCCTCTTTTCTTCCAAGTTTTGATCATTCAAGAGAGGAGTGAAAATTCTGTAAGGGTTGTCTCTTAAGCCCGTCAAAAGGAGTGAAACTGTAAAAGGGTGGTTGGCCTTTGCCTATTGAAGGAAGGCATCTAGTAGACGCCGGTGATCTCGTCGGAGGAGGAAGCCGAAAGTGGATGTAGGTCACGTTTGACCGAATCACTCTAAAATCTAGTTTGCATTTCCTTTGTGCTATTTATCTTAACTGTAAACTGTCTTTCTTACTTTACTTCAAAT